CGCTCTCTTTCAATGTTTGGCTTGTGAATAATCTAGTTACCCATCACTGAAAATGATGCAGCACTCAATTCGGTAATTGAATCTGAATTGAATCTGTCAGTGTTATAATAATCAGATTTTTAACATAGGTTTTTCTTCTGTATTTTCCTTAATTGGACACCAAATGTTAACTAGTTACCTTATCTTAGAACTTAGTGTATTAATAAATAAATTAATTTATTATGTCCTTTAGTCCTAAAAGTGGCTCAATAAGTTTAAATATTGTAAAAGTTTAGTTAAAGGCACTATAGGTCTTTAGTTATATTAATATTTATCCATGTTACTATCTTTATACATGACTGTATGTTGCCTTAAATAAATTAAAAAAAAAATAATAATTTTGCTGTATTTTCTACCTTTGCCATTTCCTCCTCATTCTCATTTACAATCGGTCTTTGGATGTATATGTCTATTGTAATCGTCAATTTACCGTTCTCAACTCATTAGAACTTTTTACAGAAATGATTTACCACATTATGCTATTATGAAACATAAGCCCTAATAACGCCACAATAAATTCAATAACGAAACTTTCGGAGTCAACCTGAAATCAAACCCAATTGATTCCTGAATATTAAAAATATTTATAAAGATAATACAACAAATCATGTATTATGCTTTTTGATTGCTGTTGCGCAACATATTTTTGAATTAATAAAAGAAAAAAAAATATATAAAGCAGCATTAGCTAAAAGCCAGATTCGTTACTTCAAATGAATCATAGTACTCTTTAAAAAATAACAAAGTTCCCCCGCGTTTGGATTGGAGCAATTCTTGAGCCGCCCAATGCGAGATTTAGATGTCGTTATCTCGTAGCAGGCTCATAAAATTGACATTACTATTCACTAATGTTCTACTCGCATTAGTGTCACATTAAACATTACGAAATGATGTAAGTGTGCATTATGGCCAAATGCATTTTTGTATTGACACAGTATAAGTAACTCTTAAAGAGTATTTTTACTGAATTGCTTTTGAGAAGGAATCAACAACTGTTTCTTCGAAAAATATTATTACTGTTTTTTAACGCTTTAAAAACACTTAGCAAACATAGACACGGTTATAAAAATCTCAAAATTAGCAGCAGCATTAAATAAATTGGTTTTTGAAATACTTTATTCTTTATTTTTATGATTTAGCACTTTATTAACGATATCTTTTTAGCCGAGTTGCAAATGATGGTTACTTTAATGAATTGGTCATTGAAAGAAAGGGGTATGAAAGTGAACGCAAGTAAGACGAAAGTGATGGTTTTTGAAAGAGAAGAAAGTAAAACTTTATGTGAAATAAGAATAGAAGGGGAGTTGATTGAGCAAGTGGATGAGTTTGTATATTTGGGATGTTTATTTAGCAGGGATGGTAGATATGATAAGGATATAGAACGACGAGTGAACGCAGGAAATAGAGTGAATGGGGCTCTACACGCTATTATGAGGAGTCAGAATGTGTCAACTAAGGCACGTATGGCAATTCATAATGCTGTGTTAGTCCCTACTTTAATGTATGGTAGTGAAAGTTGGGTCTGGCAGAAGAAGCATGAGAGTAGAATAAATGCTGTAGAAATGCGTTCCTTAAGGAGTATGCTAGGGCTAAATCTGAATGACAGGGTGAGAAATAGTCTGATAAGAGAAAAGTGTGGTTTGCAAGATGACGTTGTGACAAGGATTAAGAAAGGAATGCTTCGGTGGTTTGGTCATGTAGAAAGAATGAACGAGGAAAGAGTGACAAAGCAAATTTATGTTGCGGAAGTGAACGGCAGGGTCGGGAAGGGACGCCCTAGACGAAGGTTTATCGACCAAATCGGCGATACATTAAAAATGGGCCAGATTAGGAGTACCCTTAACCGACGAGCGTGTATGCGTAGATATATGGATGTAAAAGAGGCGAGAGAGGTGTGTCAGGATCGCGCCAAATGGAAGTCCGTAGTCTCTGCCTACCCCTCTGGGTGACAGGCGTGAGTGTTTATGTATGTATGTATGTATCTTTTTGATTGCACCTTTTTAAAATAGTCTCAAAAATTTATGACGACATTACGTCTTAATTTTATCAATCATTTTTATTAATACATGATACGCTGGTACTGTATAATTTACCAATTAGCTTATAATAGTACTAGCTATTAGTAGTAATATTGATCACTGTCATATGCGTTTGCGACATAATTTCTTTCTTAATTAATTAAGAGCAAATGCGGTTGGTCTTTTCTCCATACAAACGCTCTCGCCTGTTTTCTTTCTGGTTTATGACCTTACAGCAATGAATTTTTACAGAAATATAAATATCAATCTCTTCTATATTCCTATGTTTTCCTTTTCGATGATACGTTATCTTTATAAGCACAAGAACCCTTAAAAAAGGCTCAAAATTTCCCGTTGAGACCGCTGTCTACAGATATCTATAGTTCAAATTTGATAATTAATACTGAAAAAAGAAAAACAGGGATACAGTGTATATCCTTCTTATTCAGTTTATGAAATATTTTTTAAATTGTCCAATATTAGAGGAGGAAATGGTAGAGAGCCAAACCTCGAATTATGCCTTTTTACTTTTGCTATTCAGTCGGATCTGCAGTTGTCCTTATTGGACGCCGAGCACTCGCACAGCGACAGCGTAGTTTCTTCAAATACCTAATTTACAAAAGTTTCTTGGCCCGCATTTCTCTTAAATTCTGTCCCATTTTGGGCTCTTTCTTTTTTGTATTTTAACTTATATGAGAGGCTTATTTCGTGATTATTAGAAGGCATGCTGGCCGCCATATAATATTAATTTAAAAATAAATTAAGCCGTGATGTACTTGTATGTACAAATAAAGTCCTTATTTCCGAAAAATACTGCGCCGTAGGTGGATTACACTACACTTACTCCTCAAATTATATTAGATACATATACGGTAGTTGTATAGGAGAATCCTGTTCGCTTCACCTACCACAGAGTAGTAATTTCTTAGACTATCCATTATAATCAAGCTATACGTGACCCTTATCTTACACCGTCTATAGTCTAGTAAATTACGAAAGCAATTCATTAATTTTCTTGCGTACAATTTAAAGCAGAATGTTTCCATTATGAAACTACATTATTGGGTATTTGTGTAGGTGCAGTAAATTCAAGAATAAAAAAGATATAATTTCTATGACATTTTTTACAATTGATATATCTTGTTTGCTGTTTGTTTAGGATTAGTTGTACTTATCTATATAGAATAAAACCTTATGAGCGCGCTTTCAAGTTGACGTAAAACAGAGCCCCGGAACGATTTACTTCATTTTAGTGTTTCTTGAAGTAATCATGGTATATTAAAATGGAAAATTAATAGTTTTAAAAGTCGTTAAAAACATATATTTTTTTATAGGATAGGGTGACAAACGAGCACACAGTCCACCTGATGGTAAGTAGTTGCTGTGGCATATAAACATCTACATTTATTCTCGTTTGCGAATTAAAATGCAGATGCGTTGTCACCCGTGAGGACTAAGATGGAATGCCTCTTTTCCAGTAAAAAGGGTCTCCGATTCTCTACACTCACCATACGAAACACAACAGTGTTAAGCTGCTATTTTACGCTGGTATTCTGCGAGAGCGTGGTCCTTCCCCGGTCGAGCCGACCCATTCGTGCTACAACTATACTACTAATATAGCTGCAGCATGGCTCTACCACGTAAAAAAATATTAAGCGATATTTTGGTGGCAGGATAAAAGTCGCCGAAATAAAAATAAATTGTCCCTTCATAGTATAGTTAAAATACATAATATACATAAAAAACACAACAAACCTTGTAGTGACGGTATGAGAATATCCAGTACCACATTCATCCTGTGGGTGTCGTAAGAGGCGAACAAGGAAAATAAAATATCAGATAGGCAACAGCATCTTCCTGATAACGACTCAAAATAACAAAACATCTGCCGTTGCTAACCCGCCTGCTGAGCGAGGCAACAATGACAAATTCAGCAGTGGACTTTTGATGGGCTATATTGATTGATTAAAATAATTAATTAATCTAGACTTACATACATACTGTTCTCGAATAAGCGTATTTTTTCATACTCCATAAAATATAAGAAAATTGATATATTTTATTTAATTTTCAAAATTATTATTTCTTACAATCAATACCAAATTGAATAACGAAGTTCGAAGCTCTAACATTGCATTAATGACTATGCCTAGACTCTTCAGTTTGAATCCAATTAACGCAGTCATTAATACGTCAGATAGCATCAGATCCTATAAATAAACAAAAGCAATTGAACTATTAACACAAATATTTCCTACACAGACTATGAATCGTTATTTATATTAAAACTTAATTAAAACCATCTATCAATGCGTATTATGTGCCTGTAACAGAAACTATTTAATGATTGGATATTTAAATTTTTGACTTCAGCAAGCGAGACTTTTGCTGAATAGGAACAGTATATTTTTAGATATATCTGCCATGTTTAGTTTGCAAGATTAGCTATTTAAATTTTAATGATGCTATTACGAAAATATCCCATCTCACTTTTCCACACCTAATATTTGCGACATCCGTATAATATCCTGACAGCATAATCCGTAAAATACTATCTCCGACATAAATTATCTCAAGAGCTCTTGTAAATTTGCATGACTAATCTAATAGCGCGTGTGCATAAAGGTAAGTTTTTCGAAAGTCAAGATAAGCGTAACAAATTGATTTGTGGGTTAAAAAAGTTTTCGTGTAGGTGGCAACATTTTGTAAGCTGCGACATAAACATATCAAAATTACACTGTAAATAATATCTTACGGCTATACTCGTACTCCCCTAACATGTTGAGTTTGATTGTTTAATACATGACTTAGTAGTCAGCTATTATATTATTATTGTCCACACAATACTAAAAAATGTACAAAACTCAGTAAATCTTATAAACGTAACAAATTTTATCACATATTTATTGATACTATATATATTTTTACAAAATATTGTTTTAGGTTGTGGGCCGAGAAGGCGTCCTTGCGTCAACAGCGACACGCGAAGTCCGCTGTGGCCGCCGCCTCGTTTCGGGACTCTTTACCCGGCCCCGTTTGCCTCTAGGCTACTCATTTGTGACCACAATCCCACGTGGTGCATGTCGCCTGAACGTCTCCGAAATTGTACCCAGCGACAATTATATCGGTATGTACGCTAATAAAAAATAATATAATCTTTATTTTTTTTAGTTATGTTGATTGAACACTGAATGTCAAAAGGGGAAACGAATTCTAAAAAAAATGTAACACTTTACACATTTAACTGAAAGAATGAAGGATATTACTACTTTTGTACGAAAGTTATGTAAACAAAACCAATTTGTTTATCTATTTCGGTAATATACATCATAAATAGTATATAATATCTAATAATAATATAATGAATAAGATACAATAAAATAATATTTTTATACTATCTATACATATAATAAAACTGTAAATAGCAGATGTCTGTACATTTTATATTTTTGTAATAAAAGTGATTGAGGGGTACTAAAAATAAGTAATTAAATACATTTCTACCATTTTTAGAATTTTCTGTCTGTCTGTCTGTCTGTCTGTTTGTTTGTTAACGTATCACGTATAAAGTACTAATTTATATCATAAGAATTGTTAAGGAAATTATAAAGTGTATCTTCGGGTTACATTTAGTCTTTATTTCATTAAAATCAGTTCATTCCATCAAAAGTTATGATAAATATTCTGAAGTATGGGTAGGGAAGTATAGGTACGAATTTGCTCAACGGTGGCTTTGTTTGAGTCATCAAGTGCATTTTAAACTAATATCATATCATAAATCATAGTTAAATTATGTAAAATAATGATATAATTATGTATATCTAAAGCGCAGTAAACAAAAGTAATAAAGAACGTATTAAATATATTATACAAAAATATATTAACCTTATTAACTAAATCTGAAGCACAATAGTTAACCCATTTCTTCGATAGATGGTGGTGTTGTGAAAATGCAATTGCAAATGTGGTTTTTTCCTGTAGATGAGTTTTCATATTTACTGCTAATCTTTATTATATTACTCGCTGCCCTACTGCGTGTTGACAAACTCAATTTATTCTTTACCGCCGAGTACTCTATGTGGTAAATCAAATTTTAAAAGAGCTATTAACAATTGCATTGGTTTTGGCGAGAGTCAAACTTTATTTTTTGCTTACTGTGCAGGCACTGATTTATAAGTTCTCTTACGTTTTATATAATTTATCAATCGCGTCAATTAATCTCTTTTATTTTTAGAATTGATGATGTTAGCAGCGCCATCTCTCTTTAAATATATACATATAATAAAAATGATGATAACATGTTGTGTCTGTTTCTGTACATTGTAGGTATATATTATATTTTGGTGGCTAAAATCATTATGGGGAACTGAAAATAATTAAATAAGAACATTTTATAATTTTTAGAATTGTCTGTCTGTCTATTTGTCTGTTATTATATGAACGCATCACGTCTAACGTAAACATCTTTTATTTTCAAAGCAATCGTTAAGAATATCATAAAGCGTATCTTCGAGTTACATTTAATCTTTGTTTTATTAAAATTGGTTCATTCTATCGAAAGTAATGATTATTATTTTGAAATGTAGGTTCGAATTTGTTCAATGGCGCCATAAAATCTCAGAAATAGTAATAAAAAGATTTCTGTGTAAAAAAAACGTTCCATAATAATTAATATATTTATACTTAAAACACAAAAAGAGATAGGATGTTTTCTCACACAAAGGACGTAATAGATGGAGTTGTACAAATTACAAACTTTTCTGAATTGCTGTGTTGAGATTTTTCGCCGATGAATCGTATTGAGACTTACTGAAGAAATTTGTATACATCGAAGCCATACAACGGAACCCGACCAAAAATAAAAATTTTGCAACGAAATGTCGTGATATTGTATTTATAATATACGCAAAATCAGAACTGCCATTTTAGCGCTTTGGGAACTAGATTTAGCACTTTTTTGGAATGTATAGCGCGCATTTCGAAATTTTAGCACCTAGCTTAATCCAGCGCTTTTTGGTGTATTTAGCACACATTTCAATATTTTAGCGACTAGCGGGTTATTAACTCTTTTATAGCAGCACTGTTAGTCCACATTACCGATAATAATAATAATGACCTTTATTATTTTTTCCCACAAATAGTACATTGCAGTTTATCTTTTTCAAACATATTTTTTCCACAAAACAAAGAGCATGGGAGACGAGTCCAAACTAGGATACCCTGTGCTATGGATCTCCTGGCTTCCTCTTTAGAATGATCAACTTGATTTTTTTACCGACGACTATAAGCGGGGAAATCCCCTTTATTAAAGTTTTCGTTCATGGTTTTGGCAACGCATTTATTTTGCTTTATTCAGTTTTAGTCAGTTGCTTAGAGCACAGCTAAGTTTAGCGCGAAATCTAGCGCTTTTTGTGTTGTCCTAGAGCTGAATGAGTTTTTTTTATCTGGCAGCACTGCCCAAAAACTCTCTATTAAGAAGTAACTTTCCTTTCAGTTTTAAGCGCGTTCAGTTCCCAGTTACAGTGAGTGTGTGTTATGCGATGACCGTAAATAAAGCGCAAGGTCAAACTTTACGCGTTGTAGGAGTGTACCTCAGTACTGACTGTTTTGCACATGGCCAACTCTATGTTGCTTTTTCCCGCGTTAGTAGCCCCCGTAACCTTTTTGTGTATACCCCGGCTAAGCCTACTTCTCACGTCGTTTACACAGAAGCTCTATCATAAACGACTTAGAACTTTGATGATAATGATTTATTTTGTTACCACTTATTGATACAGTAATGAAATAAATCGTTTAATATTCTCTTACCTAAACGACAAATTCTTTATGTAAAACCTGTATACGCGAGCTACGCCGCGGGCACAGCTAGTTTTATTATAAAAGTGATTTAGTCCATAACTATTAGGTCACGAGTGATCTTAATAGAGAGATGAAGTGCGCGCTAGTGCAAAGATCGATGTCGAATCGATTAATCGGAATTGCACACGCGCACCGCCGAGTTCGCTGGCGCATCTCTTCAATAGAGGCGCCTACGCCGCAAATTGTGAGATAAATGGAGATAGCCGCTTTTGCAATTGGTGTTTAATTATTTGCATGACGTAGACCGTAACAGCTTTAAGAAGCCAATTTATTGAATGTACGGTTGTTAAATATCAAATATTTTAAGAAAATTTTAAATGTTTTTGCAATTATGATTTTTAGCGTTAAGAGTGACGAATGGCTCCTACATTATGAACGGAGAGTTTGCCGTCAGTGCACCCGGTACATACGAAGCGGCTGGTACGCGCTTTATATATTCACGCACTGCGGGGCTTGACAATGTTTTCGCTTTGGGACCCATACATCATTCAATTGACATTATGGTAATTTTTTCAATTCCTCTTCCATTTTTACATCAAAACTATAAAACATATCATTAAGCCTTTCTTTTTTTTTTAAGGTTTTATACACACAACCGAACCCACACATAAAGTATGAGTACTTAACCGACTTACCACCCGATGATACGAATAACGACATTCCGCCTGCAAGCAACACTCCTGTACATCATCAAGCAGCTCGCCATCATCGCCATCACAATGCTGAATCTCACACGCGTGCTCTTCAAAACTCGAAATCTGAACCTTCCTTATCGAAGCAACCAGATTTCACATCAATGGAAAGTCAATTCCAAATCGACAGCAACGTTATCGGTGATAGAAAGTTTATGTGGAAGATATTATCGTTCACGCAATGTTCGCGCTCATGCGGCGGAGGTCTCCAAATAGGCAAGTTCAAGTGTGTTGAAGTCAGTGAGACGGATGATCGAGAAGTCTCTCCGGCACATTGTTCTGGCAATCCGCCACCATCACAGCGTCGTCGTTGTGGTACCACTCCTTGTCCTCCCCGATGGAGAGCTGCAGCTTGGGGGCCTTGCCCTGTTTGTGGTCCAGCCCACCGTACAAGAATCGTAGGATGTGTTCAAGATCATGCTCGAGGCATAACTAAGGTATAAAAAAATAATTTTAATAGGAAAATAAATTTATATATCAAATTATAATATGTGTCATTTAAATTTTCAATGTAATTCCAGATAAGTGATCAAAAATGTCCTCTTCCGATGCCGCCGAGTAGTAAACCTTGTAATATTCCAAACTGCGACGGCACTTCATCCACAACAAATGCGGAATCACGTTTCGATTCTAAACGTCAAGTGCGACCGAAAGATCGTACTGAAACATTCCGCGAGGGACCAGTCATTTCCCTGGCAGCAAATTTCACGGAAAATGAAGTTAGTGCTACGATGGAACCATCTTTTAGCTACAGTACAGCTGGCGGGTGGCTGTACACTGAGTGGTCTGAGGTAACTTCCTGTTTAATTAATAAGACGATCATAAAAATATTACGTAGTATCATTATTTAATCTGTGACGTTATTATGTGCATTTATTCATTTCTGCATTTATATAAGAATCAAAACGTATTCTTAGTTTTACCTTTTTTGCATATGGCATAATAAATCTTCGGTTTGTCGGTGATTGACCTCCGTCGTTCCGAAAACATTTTACATTAAACAGGCGTTGATCCTTCGCCTGATCTCTTTTCAATATTATCGGATTTCCGTCTTATTGGACTATGAGAGTGAGAAAATGGAGAGTTCACCTGTGTTTGCGCACACACTCGTGCATTGTAATCCTGTCCTGCGCAGGTGACTGCTCACCGTTAAAACTGGCTTCTTTGACCGAAATTTGATCTGGAGGACATTACTATTATTAAATAGTAGCCACATTAGGTGAACAATATATATGTTTTATGATATTGTAACTCATAGTTTGATATTTTATATTACGCTAGTGTGTCGGTTGGTGCGTTGGGGGTGGAGTGCAATCTCGAGGAGTACGATGTGCAGACCCCAATGGCTGCGCTGCTCATCGCGCCCCTCACTCTTCACAGTCATGTTCCCTAAGGAAACAATGCGATGCTCAGTGGTTCACAGGTAAAATTATTTTTTGAATCAGGTACCTATTTCTTAACAGTGTTTAAAAACAATTTACTGCCAGTTAGCTCAAGATTTATTTTATTTATTTAAGTAATTATTTAAAATTTCAGTAAATTTTGAATTTCTTTGGCTATAAATAATTTTATTAATATTTAATAATTGTCTTCAGGCGAATGGTCTCCATGCTCGGCAGCTTGCGGTGGCCGCCAAGTCCGAGGAGTGATTTGCATAGGAGGGAACGGCAGGAGACTGCGCGACGGCTCTTGTCAAGCACCACGACCAGAATCTGAGAGGGCCTGCGGGGGTATATGCGCACCTTCGTGGTATCTTAGTGACTGGGGAGAGGTAAAATGTTCTGTAAATAGATATATATGCACAAATCACAGATAAAAAAAACGTTACCTTCATATTATTATTTTCTCGTGTATCGCAGAGGCAGTTTACATACATAAATTGCACAAGGACAAACATCTAGACCCAGAACAGTTATTTGTAGATATACGAATACTTTGACAACCGTGGTAGCTCAAGGGCCGTGGTAGATCAGGTAGTTAGTGTTCGCTGTAAATTTCACAGTAAGCAAGCAACCCGGGTTCGATCCCCACCAGCACAGCAGAAATTGTCAATTGCAATTTTAATTAATTTTAAGTGCTGAATCACCACGTGCGCGACGGTGAAGGAAAACATCGTGAGGAAGCCTGCATGTCTGATAAATAAGAAAAAAATTATTTTGAAGACGTAAAGTTCGTTAACACGCATTGGGGCAGCGCGGCAGATGCTTCCTTGCCTTAAAGCCCTCTCAGAAATGAGAGGAGGTCTGTGCCCAGGAGTAGAACGTATATAGGCTTTAACTTTTTACGGACACTTGTTCCGTGCGGCATTCAAATGCACAGACCTTAGCTCTGCAACTCATTGCTAAGCCTCTACGCCGAGGAGCTGTTAAAGAACATTTAACTATGTTGTTAAAATCCTAAAGCAATTTTATTACATGTTGCAGTATCATGTGAAAACGGTAAAAGACTGAAAGCACTTTATAAACTACCGATGATAGATAATAGTATAATGGTTTCTTATATTTACGCGAACACTACATATTGAAACTATCTACTTTTACTTTTCTATAGACTTCAAAAAGGAGCCGGTAGTCAATTCGACTGTATGTTTTTTTATGTGTGTTACCTCATAACTTTTTACTGGGTGAACCGATTTCGACGATTCTTTTTTATTTCAAAGCTGGTGCTTCACATGTGGTCCCATATAAATTTGATAATACCAATAGTTTTTTAGTTATTCTTATTAATTTTATTGAAGTCGGTTGTACAAAATTTTAAATTTTAAATTATAATTGAACTTATTTTAACTCCCGACGTTTAGAGTGAAATTAAACACGTTAAAATCGTAAAAGTAATTTCATCCAAGATAATTATTTTTTGATTAAACACATTAATGTAGAGGATTAACCCATATTATTCCAGTTTATGTCGATTATCTCCCGTTTTATTTCCTTCCATCGTCTGTTACACATAGTTATCATAAGAGGCGACACAGGGAAACTGAAATTGGAGATGGACACCGATAACTTCCTAATAACAACTTCAAGCAATAATTTCGGTCCTCCAGACCGAAATTCGCTCACGGCGACCGGTTTAAACTAAGACTAGCCATTTGCGAAGGACAGGATTATACTTACCCGAGTGTATACGCAAGCACACATGCATTCTTTATTCGCTTATTCTCAAAGTGCAATAGAACGGTAATCCAACACGATGGGAGAGAGATCAGGTACAAGACCAACGGCGTTACGTGCTTTTCGAGGCACGGGAGTGAAACACCGCCAACTTCCTGACTCCAGGCTGTTATTGAAAAATTTTTAATAGAAAAAAATGTAGGGATCGTAGCAAGTGGAAAGAAGTGGTCTCTGCCTACCCCTACGGGAAAGAGGCGTGACTATATTATGTATGTGTGTATGTATGTAAAAAACCAGAGACTGATTTTGGCCCAATTCGGGATTCAAACCCGGGCCTTTATGATAAGCAATCATGTTTACGATCACTAGAGTGACGAGGCAGTCAGTATCCTCCCTATGAGGCGGTCTAAGGGGAAGGCCTATGTTCAGCAGTGGACTTTGGAGATGTTGTAAAAGATTAATGAATGAATAAATATGAATACTCATTTAAAGTCATATTTAGGATTCCGTACCTCAAAAGCAATAACGAAACCCTTATAGGAACATTTTGCTATCCGTTTGTCCGTGTAATCTATTCGTCTTTTAAGACCCTCTTTCTCTGGAACGGATAGTGATTATAATTAAAAATAATATCAAATACTAAGGTCTACTTTCTTCTCTGAAATCGTAAAAAAACTTTTTTCAAAAGTCTAAAACAAAACAATCTAAATATTTATCTATATACATACGAGTAATATAAATTGAAGTGTATATCTGTAATATTGAAATAACGAGCTTCCATTAAGCTCAGGGGATTATATTGATGCTATTAAGACATAAACCGAGTAAGGGCAATGTAAGAATTACTGCTCCATATCATCTTGTGGGTGTCGTAAGAGGCAACAGAGACAAACAAATCATTACATGGGCAGTAGAGTCTTCCTAATAACGAGTAAAAATAAAAAACTGCGGTCGCCAACCCGCTTGCCAAGCGTGAAAACTATAGCAAATATCAATAAGATTGAATAGGCTTTTGTTGCGCTAAGACAGTGCGATTTACCACCTAGGGCTTCATCACTACTTACCACCAGGCGGCGGTGGTGCTTGACCACAATGGCTTATAATAACTCAAAAAAAAGTAGGCGAAATATTTTTCCTTCGTAAAGTTACGTTTGTCCTTTCGTCGTTTCCAACGTGCCATTTCTTTAGAGTAATGTTTGGTACCTTACATATAAGTCCCAGGATGGTTGAACTATCTACATACATAATACATAATTAAATTCGCGAGTCCTACTCCCACTTGTCGGGTTTTATTTTATTCACCACTGGTTACTCGTATCTCTGCCCTGGGAAGAACCCTAACGGATTTATTACTATTATTTTTTAATATACTATAAAAGCGAGGATTTTGTTTGGAGAAAACTTACTATCCCTCCACATTTTACACATTAAATTCTAAACCCCTCCACATTAAATTCTAAAAGAAATCGATAGTATTGAGTAAGAGAGAGGATTTTAGACTGCCCCAATGCCCAAAAATATTGGTGGACGTCACATGTCTTCGAAATATATTTTTCTCACATTTAGGTTTCCTCACGATGTTTACCTTCTCCGCCACTGAACGGTAAAAAAGATTCTCCGCCGAGCACGTGATAAATCAACGCTTAAAACTGCAATGGATTCGTACCTGTATAGCTAACGTACTGTAAAGTGCTGAATCCCTGAGCTACCACGGCTCCATTAGTAATTTCACTTAGATATATTTAAAAAGATATGTAACGTTAATTTTTACGTTGACAAAACTCAAAGTCCAGCGGGCTCATTTTTGTCTTGTCTAAAATAATTGACCACACATTAGGTTCCTTTCCTTGACCTAGTTTAATACACATCGGTATAAATTGTCCAATACACGAATGCGACGAAAGCCGAGCCCATTACAGCGTTTGTGTGCCGTCCGTCACCGTATTACACTTAAGAATGCTTACGATTGAAACGACGCACCTGTTACGTATTACGTATTGTTACTATTCATTTAACAGTTTGTGTATGATCAGAACAATTGATTCGTCTACATACGTAGGAAGGCACGTGGGTACATTTAATATTTATATTTTACGACACTGAACTGATAGAAATACATCAATCGGTTCGAAAGACATTTATAGAAGTTTTAGTTTTTTAGTTCTGGTTCCGAATTCGTTATAAGGTTTTTCGGTTAGCGTCAACTTTCTCCACTTTAGATTGATCTATTATTTAAATATAAATCTAAGTTTTTTTTCCATATTCGACATATAAATAAAAATTTACTGTGTTGGCGTTATTTAAAATAAATCTTTTTTTTAAAGTTTTAAGTGAAAAGACGCGTAATGATACTTATTCGTTAGTTAGCAGTAGTTACTTTGTATGCGGCAGTAAAAATATAGGCGAGATTCCAGCCTTGGGGAAATATATAGTATATTTTGCTTTACACCCTCATAATACAAGCATATTATAGAGACATAATATTTAAACTATCATAACAAGGCCGTTACGGTCCACAGCTAAAATAGTCTATAGCAATGAATATTATAATAATTGAAACCAGCCTAAGTGAGCATGATGGTGCTGATTTAAAAAATCTAAAACTGAAAACTTTGACACCCCCCCCCCCCCCTCCCCCATTTTTTCTTTATTAAGTCTCTATCTCTACCAAAGACACTTCAGTACTAATAGTAAACCTATATATCTAAATCTCCTTGATCTCTACATAGTATAAAACAAAGTCGCTTCCCGCCGTCTGTACGCTTAGGCCTTTTAAACTACGCCCCGGATTTTGATGCGGTTTTCATCAATAGACAGAATGATTTAAGTGGAAAATGTATATGTATAATACATTCATATTATATTATATAATTCTTCTGTCCGTGTGTATGTGACTGAACTCCTCCTAAACGGCTGGACCGATTTTGATGAAATTTTGTGCGTGTGATTAAGTTGATTAGAGAATGGTTTAGATTCAGAATTGGACCCGGTAGGTGGCGTTGTTGTCAAGATCCAGAAATCAAACGTGCGAAGCCGGGACGGATCGCTAGTAATGAACTAAGAATCAATATATTTGAACTCTATTCAATGAGTTTTACTGAAATACATCCCACATAATATTAAAAAAAAAATGGCTCCTTTTTCATGAAAATCAGTTTGAATTTCTAATTCAATATTCAGTTTTGGGTAAACATTCTACACCAAATATACACATTTTTGGGTCTACAACTCATTCCGTCTATGAGCTACATCCGTGACATACGGACAGACAGACAGAGAGCAGAGTGACATTAATAGGGTTCCGTTTTACCTTTTGTACACACGGTTCCGTACAATGTAAAAAGGTGACCAAATAGACGACATTGAAACTTAATTTCTTCGTGCGAAATAACAGTCCACGTTGGAAGTTTTGCATGTGTTGTGGAGGCATTTCAAACACTCAGAACGAATATTTCTTTCAAATAATCTTGCCGAAAGAAACCGGCTATCAATTGTCAATTCAAAAGCAAACGCTAGTTCATCCGATTACGGACACACTTTTAAAGAATTTGAGGAGTTGCTTAGTTGTAAGGGCCTTGACTTGCCGTGAGCTAGAAAGTAGACTCAACGGCAGTAATTTACCATTTGTATGTTTTTCTAAATATGAACGCGTTTGTCACAAAAGAACAAAAAAATTAATCGAAGAACAGAAACATTCTATTCTATTCTATTCTGTTCAAATGCTTCGATTCTATAAATAAGTTCTCTAGTTCTCTATGCTCACCATATGAAACACAGCAGCATGATTTTTAGTATTAAGCTGCTATTTCACGCTAGTATTTTGTGAGAGTGGTATTTCTCCGTCGACGGACCCATTCTACTACAACCATTATATAGGGTTATTTTGCAATAACCGGCCAGTTTTGCATAGAAGGTTTGGAATAAGTAATATAGGCAAATGGTAAAGAAAAATTATTTAAAAAAAAATCTCAAAAATTCAGTCCTTTTTATCTTTCAAATTCAAAATGCGTGGTAATGCATTATTTTAACTGATTTTACCCTTTACATTCGTGAGGATCGATGGGTAAGCAAAAACGGTTGTCCATAAATCAGATTCAATTTGGGATAATTTCAAGTAAAAGTAAAAGCCATTTTTTACTCGTATTTTCAAAAACTTCCATAACGGTATATCCATATTTATATATTTGAACTTTTTAAAATTTGCACTATTTGAAAAATCCTTTCACTATTTGAAAGGTACATTATTATTATAATTATTATCATTATTAAGCAGCGCATGCTGTGGAAGCCCTCAAGAGGTGCGATATTTTCCGACGTAGTTGATATAGATATATATATATATATATATATATATATATATAATATGGCTAAAACTTATGATAATATTTGTCAACTACGTCGGAAAATATCGCACCTCTTGAGGGCTTCCACAGCATGCGCTGCTTCAATAGTTACAGTTGCACGAAAGTGATGCCTGAATTGTTCCTGAGAAAAACGAAACAAAAAATGTTGCATTTTAGATGAGGATTTGTTCGACCCGGGCAAAGTCAGGGCGGTCCGCTAGTAGTACCCATTTCCATTACTATCTATAAACGTCCACTGCTGACAAAGGGCATCCCTTATAGATGTCCTCAAGGGGGTTTCCATGGTCGCCAAGTTTGACAACTGCAGTTTTTGAATTATTTTGAGTTGTTATCAGGAAGATGCTGCTGTCCATCTCCTGTATCATTTTCCCTCTGTCGCCTCTTAACGACACCCTCGGCACGATATGGTGTAGTGGATATTCTTACACCGCTACTGTAGCATATAATTTGATTATTGTGTGCAGTGCATGGGTCCGTGCGAGGCGGGCATACAGACACGGACGGTCTGGTGCGCTCGCGGCGGCGCGGCGGGAGCGGCGGGCGCGGCGCGGGACGCTGATTGCGCCGGGCTGCGGCCCGCGGCGCGTCGCACCTGCGTGCCCGCCAGGTGCTCTACCAAGCCCAACGTCAAGCCAGCCTTCATCAGTCCCGTGCCATCGGGTGAGTTGCCTTAGATCTTTTAGCACTTAAACGTAAAATATAATAAAATAAAAGCAAAATAATAAATGCGCCTCCGGGTCTACCGACAGTATCTTAGCGAATAGACTACAAGAATGTGTAGTGTTATACATAGTGGTGTAAGAAAAAAAAAGTCAAATGTAAAGAAATGGAAGTTTAAAGTTGTCGAATAGTTTTTTGACTACTAGTATGCAGGAATATTAATGCCATAAATGTGCGCATTTTGGCTTTTAACGATAATAATATTATAAAATATTTTTTGTTTGTAATAATTAATTAGCAGATAAAAAATTTGTAGAAAATAAAATAAAAACAGAAAACATGAAATGATTTTGTTACCTCCTTTTTATTTATTTTAATTTTATATATTTTTATTTATAAAATAAAAATTCCCCCCTTCTTCAACTATATTATACTTGATAATAAAAAGTTACAAACGAGCTAACAGGCTACCTTGATGGTAAGTAAGTAGCTACTGCCATATATAAACCAGCCAACTTCAGACAAAGAGTACCTAGGTGTGCCAACCTAGTGTTGCAGGATTACGGTTGAAAATGTATCATAATGTAATAACTTGTTCTTATAACCTTCATACCGAAACACCATCGTGAGAGCACTGCTGTTTATATAGGATATATAGCAGAAATAAGAGGTAGACATACCCTGATGATCTTCATTTAAAATTATAACTTGTGAATTTAGTAGGATAGGAGATCGTTATTTAAAATTATAACTTGTGAATTTAGTAGAAAATTTACTACTAAAATTTTCTCTTTTAACAGTCGCAAATCATTTAATCAATGGGCGACAGTAGAAATTTATAAAAGGAGCCGAAAATTATATGAGCTTTATAAGGAAAGATCATATAATATAGTGTTATATTTAAAGATTATGTAAAAAATGTAGTAAAATATTTAAAAAAGGGTGCTCCACAGCTAAGGCTTTTAAGTAACAAAATTAAAACTGCATCTAACATAATTAAAATGACCTGGAAAATAATAAATAGTAAAATGGGCAAGGTCAAACCGCGCAACTCGGGTTTTCTATTGAATATTAACAATAATTTAACTTGATCTGATCAAAAAGTTGCTATGGCTTTTGAGAAACATTTTACTGATGTTCCTTTTTTGACAACTAAATCATTAAATTCTTCTACTACTGTCGCCGAATCATTGCTTAAACAAAGTGTGAAGGCTTGTTCAAATACTTTTAAATTCCATAGAGTACTGCCAAAAGATATCGTTAAATATTTTAAAACTATTGATGTTAAGAAAACGGCAGACTTATAGAGGATTTCCGTTAAAGTTATTTTATCTATAATAGATATAATAGCACCTTATCTAGCCACTATATTTAATACAAGCGTCGAATCTGGTGTGTTTCCTGATTTAATGTAACATAGTAAAGTAATACCTTTATTAAAATCTGGTAGTACATTAGATCCCGCCAATTTTAGACCAATTTCTGTACTACCAACATTTAGATAAATTATTGAAAAAAATTATTTTAGATCAGATGTTAAGTTTATTTAATATTAATAAATTGCTCCATAAAAATCAATTCGGTTTTACAAGGGGTCGCTCGATAACTGACGCTAGAGTTGAGCTTATTAAACTTATTTTTTGTACATGGGAGAATTCAGAGGATGCTTTGGGTATATTTTGTGACCTTTCCAAGGCCTTCGACTGCGTTCACCATGAGACATTAATCAGGAAGCTACAGTACTATGGTCTCAAGAACACAGCGCTTAAACTTATTATTTCATATTTAAGTAATAGAATGCAGAAAGTTATTATAGATAGTAAAAGTTCTTCTGGGTCACCTGTACTAATGGGTGTTCCTCGGGGCTCCATTTTCGGCCCATTCCTATTTCTAGTGTATATTAATGACTTACCTTCTCTTGTAGGGGATAATCATGATAAAGTATTATTTGCTGATGATACTTCCTTGATTTTTAAAATTAAACGTGCATTGTTTTAACGTTAATAATCTGTATTTAAACGGAAATAAAACTAAATGTATTAAATTTACAACAACGAATGTTAAAAATCTGAGTACCAATGTGTTTTTAAATGGGAAAGAACTAAGCCCTGTTGAATCTACTGTTTTTCTTGGCATCATTCTTGACGCAAAGCTTCAGTGGCGCCCCCATATGTCCAAACTAGCAAGCAGACTAAGTTCTGCAGCCTATGCTGTAAAATAGATTAGAGGTCTCACTAGTGTCGAGACAGCTAGATTAGTTTATTTCAGTTATTTCCATAGGCATAATATCTTATGGGATTTTGCTATTGGGAAACGCGGCTGATTCATAAACTATTTTTGTTTTACAGAAGAGAGCCATTAGAGCTATTTACAATCTAAAACCGAGAGATTCTCTTAGAGATAAATTTAAAGAAATAAATATATTAACTTTGGCGTCTCAGTATATTTACGAAAATTTAATGTATGTTCACAAAAACAAAGATAGTTTTATTAAAAAAAGTGATACATTCTGTAAACACTAGGAACAAAAACAAGCTAGTGATACCAGCTTCTGGATTCCACAGAGTCAGTAATTCATTCATGGGACAATGTATACGCTATTACAACAAGGTCCCTGAAAATGTACAGGCTCTCTCTATTACCAAGTTTAAATGTTTTGTTTAGTTGAAACTGTATAAAAAGGGTTATGTACACGCCCCTAGCTGTCCCAACAAAGATCAAATATCCCGGGGCCCATCAGCGGTAGATTCGACGGACAACTAAGGGTGGGACCCAACGGCCTATGGAGACTTATTATTCGACACAATAGATATAAGGCTAGGTAAATGAATAGTACGTACCTGGTTCCGAAGCTAAGACTGCCCCAAGGCTCGGTCAGGCGGTAGGTAGGTGTAGGTGCATGTAAGTGGTGTGTAGTAGTGTTTATATATGTGACCTGACCCAACTGAGGTGATCGGGCAGTGGCCTGGTCCGATGCTGCCCCACAATGTGGTATCACCCCAGCGGACGTCATCAATTGACAACTTCTTTCTTCATTTCACTATTTCAGTCTATCAACTCCATTGTACATTTAATTAACTTCAAAGTCAACCAATTCAACGTTCATCGAAATTAAACACGTGACACCCGACACAAATAACGAACAGTCGCTCCAAGTTCAATATTCATTTTCACTTAGCAACAAAATTATAACCACACGTACGAACGCGGTCTCTTCTCGAGTCACAAGGTTCAGCGTTCCCAAACAACAAACTAAATTCCTTCGTACGATATTAAATACTACGCCGCAATAGGAATTCAAAACCAGCCTAGCTGACACGCAAACTAACTACAGAGTCAACACACAAAAGGCACTTAACGCGACGGTACAATTAACATTAACTTCCAAAAACAATTAACCGGGCCACGCCCTCGAAATGGAATGTGAGCATCAAATTCCAGACAGTATGTCCACTCGGCGTGCGCGCAAGGTTCCACGTCACACAAGCAAGTCAAATATTGCAAAATGCACTTCAAAATGCAATCACTGTACAATCGACGTAATTACTTGCAAACGAAATTACTTTAATCAGTCAAATTCAATACAAGCCTCTTGTCACGAAACGTACAACTTAGACAAACTAATTCGAGGCGGTGTACACGAAACTCAAATTCAATAGCAAATTAAACGCGCACAAATACTCAAATTATAGACCACATAACCAAAAAACTGGTCGCGCGAAACCGCTGCAGCGGTCACAAAATACGCTAATCAACAGCGCCGCTGCTGCCAAGCTACTGTCTTCGCACTCGCGTCCAGCACTCGCGTCCGGCACTCGCGCCCTCTGCCGAGCGACCCACACGAGAGTGGGGCGACGGTAACCTTTACAAAGTCAGCGGGAGGACACGAGTGTTGAATGCAAATTTCAAATGTTAATTGTTTGGCCTCAACAGGTTATTATAGTATAAATGAATACATGGTTGATGATAACCCCTGGGAATGAGATGGTCGTTTCCAAGCTGTTTCTAAAATAAATTTTGTACCAACCATTAATTTAAAATATGCTTTTAAAAAAATCCCGCTGGGTTTCTTGCTGGTTCTTCCCAGGACAGAGGTTTTTTTTCGAACCAGTGGTAAAGTAAAAAATGACTTTCAATAAGAAATACACATGTGATCTGTATTGAATAAAAAATATTCTATCCTATTCTATTCTATTCTATTCTAAATAGAAAAAGTTTGTAGTAACTAATAAAGTATTCATGTGCCTTAGAACTGCTGAAAGTAACATTCGTAAAAGTTTACGCGTTACTAAATAATTTCAAAACGATATTCTACGACAAATGAAATATACAATTTTATTTCTAACTATTGCACATAAAGTGCGTATTTGGTTGACTTTGGACATTCTCTATCAGGCAATAAAGATTTACGTAGAAAATTCAGGTGTCACAACCATAAGCTTAGTACAAAATATGCAGCGCAACGAATAAAGTATTATACTTTATCCGTTGCGCTGAGTACATGTAATATATATAATATGTGTATATTTGCACACTATACTAATATTATACTAATATATTATATATATTATACTAATATATTTTATATATATTGTCTATAAGTCCTTATAGACAATAAATACAAAATATTTACTTATTCTATACACCAGTATTTCAGCTGACGCCGTGTATGTGTGCGCTCGTGCTTGCACGCGCGCGTGTGTTCGTGTGAGTATATGTGTGCCTGTGCGTATTCGTGCGCGTGTGTGTGCACGTGTGCGTGTGCGTGCGCGTGTGTGTGTGCGTGCGCGTATTCATGCGCGTGTGTGTGCGCGTGTGCGTGTGCGTGCGCGCGCGCGCGCGTGTGTGTGTGTGTGTGTGTGTGTGTGTGATTGTGTGTGTATGTGTGTGTGGATGGGTTGTGAATGTGGGTGTAAATATGGTATATATATGGACAATATATCAACTTATGGGTTCCAGCATAGATTCCGTTGTGTTATACGAGTATTATAGTCAAGACTTTGTAGCTACTTAATATTTTTTTATAATAACTTTCTTTACACTCATATTTACTTTAATTTTTATTTTTAATTATAACGTTACTTAACAAAAAAGAGAAACAATGGAAATATTTTATTCATACAACTGATTTTTATCATTTGTAATAAGTTATATTTCTCTATTCATTACTTCTCAATGATGACTTTCCTAAATTGTTTAGTTGCAGAGACACAGAGAGTAACTAGACACCAAAGTCTGAAGGATCGATCGCTTGCCGACGGTAAGTTATTTTTTATAAGTATAAAATTGATAGGCGAGCTAATGTCCACTTTATAGTAAGTGGCTAAAATGGTAGATGGTACTGAAAGTCGTTAAGTGTAAGTGCCAAGTATACCTACTATCACCTACTATCTTTAAACAAATAAGGCATCAGATGTGTTTCTATTCGTGAGGACTAAGATAAAATTACCCATAGCCTGTGATTATGCTGGCTCTTGGGCTTAAGACGTAACTCTCGTATGTGTAGTGTTGCTTGATAACGGAAAAATTAAGAACGTAATTGCCACAGCGTAAGTTCTTTAAACTGTGGTATAGGCCTTTTCAAGAATGCTCATAACTGCTATACATTAGCAGGAACAAAACCTTTGCAAGGACTGGCATTCATGGCACAATCTCGTGTCATTTAGCAAATGATATTTTGGTACTTTGGGATTATCCCGTCGACCTCTAAACAGTCATAAACCAAATAAAAATAAAACATTACACAAATCTTGCAATATCAGTAACAGTAGAATTAGGTGCGTACATTATTGGATATAATCCTTAACCACAAATAAATTAAAATAGCGTTGAGAGGTCGGCGGGATAATCCCAAAGTATCAATATTTTATATTATCATTTTAATTTACCTAATAAGTATAACACAAGAAATATCGGTAGGAAACCAACATGCTTAAAAATGATAAATACTAAAAGGACACATGACATCCATGTATACATAATACAATCCTGTGGACTTGTATATCCAACCAGCCTACCGCAACTGTTAGAAATGAAAGGATACCTGTTCGTAGCCATGAAACGTACTCTCAGGTAAAGTGTTACCAATGATACTTACATAATATATTTATTTTACTTTTAAATTTATACAGGTGCATGTATGGACAAATTAAGCAACTGTATGCTAGTGGTGCAAGCGCGACTTTGCCATTATCCGTACTACGCCGACAACTGCTGCCATTCCTGCCTTGGGCGATAAGTTAAAATCGGCTAAGGTATGAAAAAAGGTAAAATAATTTATTATATTCATTAAAAGTTATCTAATGTAATTTAATAAGTAAATAAATCTTCGAAAACATTTCAATTTTTGACAAAACAATATTATCAGAATAAATCAGTAAATATTAAAATGTTTATTTATTTGTTCTTTATTGAACCTTATACATTATATAGAAACAAAAGGCGGACTTAATGCTAAAAGTATTCTCTATCAGCCTCATAACATCTCAACTATCTTAGGGTAGGTAATATCGAAGGAGGTTACAGAAAAAGCATAATACCTAGAAATATGAAAATCACACTGTGACTAAACCTGCGTTCATATTTTTATATAGACCTACGCATATTTTATATACAGGGTTATTTTTCAAAGATAGAATAATTTTGTACTTAAGTTCAAGTATATAAAAAAGGTATATCTTTATTGATTTTTTTGAAAATACGAGTAAATAAGCCTTCTACTTTTATTTATCAAATTTAATGTGGTTCATGGGCAACAACTACGTGTAATACGTGCGCTCTTGTATGTGCGATTCACAAAGTTTTTGCCAACTGTTTACTTTCTTAGTGACACGTTCTCTATTAATGCTTAAGTTAATAACTACATGACGCGAATTATTATTCCAATTTCCTTTCACACTTTGAACGGACTTAGGATCGTCAAAATAAATAAAATTAAAAATATACATTTACATTAATTTGATAAGCAAAGACATTGTGTAAGTAGGTGCTATAAATTTTAATATGACTTTAAAATAATCTATTTTTTTAGGTACTCTTGCGAGCAAAAACCAAGTAAGGCGGCGGGTTAGTGGACTCGTGACTCATAGTATTGTGATAAATAATGGACGCATAGTGAGAACACGCATTCAGTAATCAGACGAGCGCCCGATTTAGGCCCGTACCCGTAAGGAAGTAGAAATCCCTCGCATTTAAGCCCCTTAATGATGTTTATGTGGTTATAACAATGCGTATAATTGCCGTAAATAATGAAGCAACGGTCCTTAATATTAAAGGTATCTTTGCGAAACATATTATAAGAGATAATGTCGAGCTAAAACCCATACTAACTATGTATGGTGATCTTTGTAGCAATTCTGTAGCGGTCATTAAAGCATACGCATTTTGATTGTAGAGAAGGTTTATGTTTCTCAAATTCACTTTTAAGTATTAGAAATAATTTCGTGATCTCCAGTTTTTAATGAGCTGAATCTGTGCAAGAAACTGTTTCACGATGAATTCGTAAATTAATGAATACGAAAAATAATAAACAGAACCTTTTAATGTTCTTCACCATTTAATGTAATATTTATAATGCCTGAATAACATTTTAATTGGCCAATATTTGAATTTCAAGTAATATTTTTATTAAGAGATTAATTAAAATTGTATATTATAAAATTGTAGTAGATAACTGCATGAATGCTATCATTCACAGTATATTAGGCTATGCTATTAGATAATAAGAAACGATAGTATTCCTTACAAATGTTTATAAAATATTTCTGTATGGTGTGTATTTTTTAGAAACTTTATTTTGTGTTCATGATTATTTATTTACGCTGATTTCTATAAATAAAATCATTTATTTTAGAATTGTAATGTAAATAGTTACTTTGTATGTATAGTGCATTTATATACTGGCTGTTAAGTATTTATAATCTTTAGTCAACAATAGTCAATATTATATCACAAATTCTTTGATAAACTGTGTTTTTTTTTGTCACCAGAATAACATCAATTTAATCATCATATTTAATAAAAGTCAATGTTACATCACAACTTCTTTAATATTATTTGTCACCAGAATAACATCAATTTACGATTAAGTAAACATTTCTGTACTAATCATGCATAACAACGTACAAAAATTATAAGCTTTAAACACGAAACTTCGTTTTAGTTTCCTCCCATAGTTATATAGAAGTCAATATGGTGTTTTCAATGGGTGTATTCAACACATAAGTAAGTTTGACCAAGAACGCTGCTCATTCGAGCTTAGGCTAAGACAACATAAGCGTAAGGCATGAGTGGAGAGCGTTCAGTGGGGCGTGCTTTGTAGTGGCACGTTCGGCGTATATATTTTCAGCGGACACTCTCAGCATACAAAAGGCCGTGCTTGTCATATATGCTCTGTTGTCGCTTGTCATTGAATACCTACCCAAAGTCTAATAATAATTCTAGGCCTCAGTGGAGAGTGTTTGTGCTTTGCGCGGAATGCCTTACTTCACCAAATGCTCTTCACTGAGACCTTTCCCTAAGGCCTTGACAGCGTTTGGCAGGATTTGCAGGACAAATAAGCGGCAGACTCAGTTTCTCCAATTACTGTAAAACCAGAGTGGAAAACTTTGATCGGGGTGTGTAGCACAGCGGTCCCTTTTGGCACGTGGTACCAAAATACGAATGTGGACATCATCATGTTGTGAAACAAAATTACAGAACACAAATTTTCCAAAGTACATAGAACATAGCCCTCTCCCAAAGAACATTCTTTGGGAGAAGCTTCTTTATGTATAAGCTACCTTAATCCATCGACTTTTCACGTCTTACCAGGTCGTCACTCCACCTAGAGTGGGGGGAGGGGCACCCTACACTCTACTTACTGGTTCAAGGTTGTCATGCGCCACGCGAGAACCTGTCTTTTGCATCGGTCATCGGACCTTTAACTTATATACCTGTCTATTGACACTTCAACGAGCAGATCCTTAAGCTGTATGATATAAGCCATAATAGTTTAAAAGCCATTAATATTTATTTATAAAAAAATAATAGAATAAAAAATATAGCAAAACTTCTTAAAAACATTTTTCTTCAATTTTCAAGAATGTGATGCTCCTTGTTCTTGCAAGTCAATAATAAACCATTTTAATGTTGAAACTGAAACCCACAGAAAATGTGCAGCAGCATCATCTTAATAAGAATGAATAGTAATAAAAAAATTGGCGTTGCCAATCCATTTGCTAATCATAGCAAATATGACAAATATCTTCCCTATGTGACGATGTATGGAGAGAACTGTCACCAGTGGACTTTAAATAGGCAGTAATTCATAAATAATAAGTCAATAATGTACAAACAACCCCCCCCCCCCCCCCCCCATTATAACGACACGATAATGGATGCAATTTCCGAGTCATTAGGATATTTACTCACAACAAAATAATTTGTGTGGCTTGCACAAATGTTGCTTTTGGCTTATATTTGAATATAGGATTCACGGCGTAGAAACCAGGTACTCAAATCACTAACCCATTGGCAGTACTTCCACGACGAGTATATAGTCCACATGATGGTAAGTGGATGCTGTTGCCCATAGACACCCTACAACTTTTGTCGATTAAGAATCGAAATGCATATTAAGCTTTGTCAGCCCTGAGGACCAAAATGGAAGACAGCCAGTCAAAAGGATATCCGGTCCGGTTCTCAACACTCTTCATACAAAATACATTTTATTCAATCCAATTTTTACCTAACGCTGTTTTTGTGTTCAATAAGAGTGACAAACAATAAGAGGGGTACACAGTCCAATTGATGGCATGTGGATACTGTATCCTATTGACTTCTACATTTATCCTTCATTAAAATCGAAATTCAGATGCGTTGTCATCCCTGAGGACTAATATGAAATGCCTCGTTTCCAGTAAAAAGGGTCTTCCGATCTCTACACTCACCATATGAAACACAGTAGCACTAAGCTGCTACGCTGTTATTATGTGAGAGGATGGTCTTTCCCCGGTGGAGCGGACCCATTTGTGCTACAGTCATAATATAGCTGCAGCGTGGCTCTACCTATAAATCATCGTAATTATCATTACAGATCTTCACAAGTCCACTGCTGAACATAGGCCTCCCCCAAGGAATGCCACAAAGCACGGTCCTGAGCCACCCGCATCCATCGACTCCCTGCATGTCTTACCAAGTCGACACTCCATATAGTGGGGGGACGCCCTACACTTCATCTGCCGGTGCGAGGCCGCAACACGAGAACCATTTTTCCCAATCGGTTGTTGGTTCTTCGAGCTATATGGCCAGCCCATTGCCACTTCAGCTTACTTAATGCGTTGGGCTATGTCAGTCACTCTGGTTCTACTGCGGATATATCTTCATTTCTAAGTTTATCACGCAGAGAAACCCCATGCATAGCCCTCTCCATAGTTCGCTGAGCGAACTTGAGCTTCCTCATACGGCTAGCAATGAAGGAGCACGTCTCAGTTCCATAGGTCAACACTGGCAACACACACTGGTTGTATATTCTGGTTTTCAAGATTTGAGGTATACCTGGCGAGAAGATGTGCTGTAATTTCCCGAATGCTCCCCAGCCAAGTTGTATCCGTCGATCGACCTCTCGGTCGAAGTTGGACTTACCTAGTAGGACTATTTGTCCCAGGTAAACATATTTGTCAACAACTTCGAGCTTAGTGCTCCCAACAACTACCGGCATAGCTGTGACATGGACGTTATACATGATCTTTGTTTGTCCATGTACATCTTAAGACCTATCCGTTGGGAAAAACTATTGAGGTCATTGAGCTTAGTGCTTAGGTCCTCCAGCGCCATTAAGAATATATCGTCGGCAAAGCGAAGATGAGTGATGTACTCGCCGTTGATGTTAATACCGTATCCTTTCCTGTCCAGTAACTTGAAAACGTCTCCCAATGCAACGGTGAAGAGTTTCGGGGATATAACGTCATCCTCTCTTACACCTCTCTGCAGTTAGATGGGTTTCGTACTCAGGCTCTGTACTCAGATTCCCATCGTACCCTTACTGTACAAATACATCAGCACTTCGATATACCGACAGTCAACTTGGTACCGCTAAAAAGATTGAAGCACCGCCCGAATTTCGACGGAATCAAAGGCTTACTCATAATCCACATACACCAGATATATGTCAAATTGTACTCCTCAGACTCCTGTACAATTTGCCGAAGGGTATGTATGTGCTATATGGTGCTAAAGCCTTTTCGAAAACCAGCATGTTTGGGACGCTGAAAGTTATCGAGTCTGCATGCGAGACGATTCGAAATGACTCTCAAAAGCAGCACGCAGACGGGGCTCAGAAGGGAAATCGGTCTATAGTTCTTCAAGAGAGCGTTGTCACCTTTCTTTAAAAACAAGACCACCGCACTTCTGCTCCACGCCTCCGTTGCAGTGCCACCATGGAGGACGGAACTAAAGAGCTTCTAAAGAACTTCAAGTACCGGTTTTCAACTCGCGCCCGAAGCTCCGCTGTAAAAACTTAAGGTTCAGTATGCCTCTAACCGTTCAGTGATCGCTACCAATCTTCACCGCAATCACTGTGACATCACTAAACGGTTGTCGTCTGGCCGTCATAATGAAGTAAATCTAATTTTTTATCGAACCGTCGGGTCTCGACCAGGTCCGCTTCCTGTGGGCCGCTACTGGAAAAAAGAGTTCATCATAAAGAGTCCCTCTTTCTCCATGAAGTCGAACATCTGCTGGCCCCTTGAGTTCCGTTGCCCTATACCTATTTCTCTAACTTTTAACAGCTCAGCACCGTTCTCCCTTGTACCTAGCTTTGCGTTAAAGTCTCCTATTAATACCGTATAGTGGGTTTTGGAGCAATAAATGGCTGTAGATATATCCTCATATATCTCCTCCACCTCGTCATCGGGATGTGCCGAGGTTGGTGCGTAAACCTGTATGCCCTTCAGCAAATACCGTTTGGTGGTTCTGAGTATAAAGTACGAAACCCTCGTCGACACACTTCCAATCTTTACAACGTTGTTAATGAGAGACTTATGGATGATAAATCCGACACCTCCTTGGGACTGATGATCGCCCTCCCGATGATAGAACAAGTTGCCGGATTCGAGGATTACCATGTCCTCCCCCTCTCTTCGGACCTCAGATAATCCTATAATATTCCAGCGCAACTTGTCTATCTCTTCTTCCTGCTCCAGGATCTTCTTGTCAGTCCTCAGGGTGTGTTGCCAAGTTGAGTCGTCTTAGATGGCAACCGAACCACCACCGGAAATTCTTAGCACCCCCTGCTCCGCCGATATCATGGTCGCCACCGTAGCCAGGAATAACTGGGGACCGTCTCTTCGTAACTTTATTCATGGGGGGTATATTGCCATAGTTGCCACGCTTGACGAGCGGAATGGCAACCACAGTTTTTTATTGTTGATTTGCTGTTATCAGAAAGATGCTGCCTTCCATCTTCTACCTCAGTCGCCTCTTACGACACCCTCGGGAAGATATGGGATAGTGGGTATTCTTACTCGCTACTACACGGGACACCAATTAATAACAAAATTATATTTCAGTAAGGTTGAATAGGCTTTTATTACGATCAGATAGCGAGATTTACTATCTCTAGGTTTCATTACCACTTATTATCAGATGGGATTGGAATCAAGAACTGGCAAGTAAATAAATAGGATGATGGATTCGCCAATGCCGCCAATATGTATATGTAAATTTAATTGTTTTAATTAAATGTTTTGTAATCTAACAATAATGGTATGGATTTTCCCTGTGTTTCCACGCAAGTCTGTATAAAAAGCGTCTTTATCATAAATCGTTCTGGTGATAATTTTATCCAAACAAACAACACTTAATTGAAGTACCTCTCAAATAAAGTATAAATAGAGACTTTACATTAAAGAAAATAATCCTGTTAGTATTATTGCACACATCTTTACTAGTGCAACAAAGGGAAATCAAAATGGAGATCTCTGTTAATTCGGTTGCAAATTTTAGCATAATAAAGCCAGTAGAGGAAAGTATTTACATTCGAACCACACGTCTTCTTTTGAACCTTGCGACGAATGTATTAATTGTTTTAACTATTTTTGTGTGCTTCTTATTTTCATGCAGGATAAATCCAAACGCATTTCAACTGCATATAATTTTTTGTGTTTTAGGGGTAAGTCTAGCATAATATATTGCATTTATTGATTTAATTACATAATAAACTGCAAAAACCGAATGAGTTTAAATTTTTTTTATAGAAGAGTGAGCAAACGAGCATACGGCTCCCCTGGTGGTAAGTGACTACCGCCACCAATGAACAACTACAACACCAGGGGATATGCAGGATGCTCTTTACTTGAAGCTTGAAGGTCGTCGGTCGAAGTCGTATCGGTCCGAAAAATTCACCGTTGGTAAACTTTTCCACAGAGAGATCGTAATAGGAAGAAACCTCCTAATAAGGCGTACAGTGGTGGACTGCCAACCATCCAGATGGTGTGGATGGTATCGGGAGTTTTGCCGCGATGTGTGTTCGTGAAATTTGGCGGCTGGAATTATCCCAACAACCCTCAGAGCACTCCCCGTGGTAGATGCGAAAGAAAATGCCCTTCGCATTTTCTTGATGCAACATCTCTTTGCAGTGCCAGTGAATCGAGCCGGTCGGAGAGGACTTGGTCGTCGACGATTTGAAGCGCTCTGCGTTGGATGCAGACAAGTGGAAGGAGCTGGCACTGAGGAGCTCCAGCCGACAGTACAGTATTCAAAGTGAGGCCGAAGCTGCGCCTTATAAAGTTGCAGGCGGTATGCCGGCATGAAATACTGTCCCGCTCTGCTGAAAACGCCAAGCTTTTTAGAGGCCAATTTTGCCTTCTTTTCCAAGTAACCACGAAACTGCACATCTTTTTACATGTCGACGCCGAGGATTCTGATACTGGCGGAGGCAACAAGGGCAGTACCTTGAAACTATGGAGACACCTCAAAAGGGATTCTTTTTAGCGGTAAACGTGCAAATTTGTGCCTTCTAGGGATTGAACTTGACTAGATATAGTCGCCCCCAATCTGAGACTGTTCAGCAAAGACTCGACTTTAGACGCAAGTTAGTCTCGGTACTCGGCGACGTTTTCTCGACAAATATTGGCACGGCTGGTGTATAGAGCATCACCAGTGCTGCCATCCGCATAGCAATTAATGTTACCGGTTTGTAACATATCATTGATATGCAGAAGAAACAGTGTTGGTGATAGCACGCAGCCTTGTGGAATACCAGCATTAATAGGCTTGTAATCGGAGCATGCACTGTCTACTACGACCTCGATGCTCCGATCTGCAAGAAAGCTGGTGATCCAGTTGCACAATTTCTCGGGAAGCCCATAGGAAAGTAGCTTCGAAAGAAGCACTTTGTGTCAAACCCAATCCTAGGTAGGGTATAGAGAACTATGTCCAAGCTAACGGCCAATGTCTCCCTCTTGGACTCTACTGCCTCCACCCATCTATGAGTCAGGTAGACCAGAAGATCACCAGCTGATCGACCCCGACGAAAACCGTATTGGCAGTCACTAATCAACTGGTGATCCTCAAGGTACCACATGAGAACAAGAAGGTGATGATGATAGGCCTGTTTTTGAGATCGGGTGGACGAAAGTCTTTAATGAATTCTATGGGAGTAGGCGTACCGGAAAAGACGTGTTAGAACCGGTGCCAACTCTGGAGCACACGAATTCAGCACAATTGGCGGGATTCCATCAGACTCTATCGAGTTGTGGATGTCCAGGGAGAGGAGTGCTTTGGGAACCGAGCACTGTGTTAACCGCATAATTGAACGGCATTGTTAAATGGTTTATGAAAATCTACTGTTGATAATTTTGGTTAAAATTTTGTGAATATGTACACTTATATAACAAGCAGAAAATTCAAAATGTGGTTACCGACCCGCCTGCCAAGCAATAGATTTGGATGCCATGGTCATATAATTAATTTCCCTTAAGAGGGACGGTGGACTTATATAGGCTATAATGACTAAATGAACTCATTCAGCCCATCTGGGATTGTTACGACTATGACTTAAATTATATGAAGCATATTATACGTCTATTGCGCAATTAAATGGTATTTTATGTAAAAATATCCGTTTCAGTATCAATTCTTCATGTGCCAAGGCATCCTAGTGCTTTCTAAGTACAACAGCTGGTCTTTTTTCATAAAAAGACAGTATCGACTACAATTCCATTGGATGTTTCAAGCATTGGCTTTGATCTTCATAATTACTGGGACCATAATAATGATTATAGAAATGAATCAAAACTTTAATACAGCTCATGGTATATTAGGTGAGTGGAATAGTTTTGCATTGATTTTATGCTTACGAATTAAAAGATCTAGATGATTTCTGTATAATTTAATTCCTGAATATAAAGTAAATAAGAAGTGTTTGTTAGAAAAAGAAACGGAATTTCTGGATATTTCTGCCTGTCAACTCTTTTATATAAAGACGAATTTGAAGAAAATGACTGTGACGCTGCATTAAAAGTATTTCACGATTCCTTAAAATACTAAATCATCTGGTTATGGTAAAAGAACGTAAAAAAAATTGCACAAATAATAAAGCCAATAGTTATAGTCACAGCCTATAATATACGTCCTACTTCTGGACACTCCTCTCATTTCTGAGAGAATTTTAGAGCAAGGAAATGTCCACCTCTGCCCTAATACGTGCTGGCGAACTTCACATGTTTTCGAAATATGTTTATTTTCTTATTTCTCAGACATGCAAGTTTCCTCCCGATGTTTTCCTTATCCGCCGAGTACGCAGTAAATCACCACTTAACAAATAAAAAATTGCAATTAACAATTTTATTGGTACCGGCGGGCATCGAACCCGGGGTTGCTCGCGTAGGTGCTGTAAATTTCACAGTACCTACGCGAGCAGCCCGGGTTCGATGCCCGCCGGTACCAATGAAATTGTTAATTGCAATTTTTTTATTATATATATACCATTTTACTATATAACATTTTTTTAAATTTCTTCCGAATATGCCGCCAAGGTACTTCAAATTGAGAAGTTGAGAGATTTTGGCGACAACTAAATCTAACGGATAGTCGATGACGACAGTATCTCAAGTTCCTAAGGCGATTAAACGAAAAAAAATGTTGAGGTTTATATCAACATTGGAACACTTAATTCGTCGTTTCCACACACACACACACACACACACACACACACACACACACACACACACACACACACACACACACACACACACACAAAAATGCTTTTATGTATCAAAACCCATTTCAAACTATTATATCTTACACGATAAAACGTGACAACGGGATAAAAGAGGAAACATAATATAATATATTGTGGAGAAGTTTTCAATGAATTGAAAATGAATTTTATCGTGCCGAGAAATACTTGAGCATCCAGAAATACTTTCAGCTGTAATACGTTAGAAGGTTGTGGCCGCAACCTTCGTGGTTATTTTTTTACCACACCGAAATACTTTAGAATTCAGAAATCCTTATAATCCTTTAGGAGAATCCTTTAGCTCCTCTCAGAGATGATAAATGTTACCATTTTGAGGTTAGGTATATGGGATTTTTTTTATTTTTCTCAAGAACAAAGTATTAACTTTTGATGGGAGTGGTGTCGGGGATTAGGGGACACTCTCCCCCCTACCCCTCCCCTCCTGTCAAACTATCCTTAATTTAAAAAAATTATAAAAGTAGTTTTTTATTTTCTCGAAAACGATGCATTACCTTTTAATGCGAGTAGTATTGTTATAATCGGGAACCAAACTTCTTCATGTTATAGTCTTTTCTGCACCTTTTTACTCCAGTCTAAGGTCATTCCGTCAGTAGCAAAGATGGCGTCAAGAATTACCTTGGACGGTCCCAACGTTCACTGCGGAAATATTTTTTCAAATTGTAAATAATACAATGGATCTTCTTCTTTTACTTCTTTTTCTTCAGCCCGTAAATGTCCACTACTGAACCACTGCAGGGATTTGCATTGAATCGTCATGCTTGGCGAGTGAATTGACGATCGCAGTGCAAGACATTTCGTAACCTCGAAGTTTTTTCCTGTCATCTGTATTCTATTGCCTGGCATTACCGACTTTCCACCATATCTTGAAAGCCATAATTTCTTTTCTTTCGATCTTTTTGGCGTAATATCCTCAACTCAATCATCATATTCGCCTCTTACGATACCCATTGAACGAAATTGATGATGGTTTCTTATGCAGTCACAAAACGGCAAAATAATGAACTAAAAAGTATACTGATCAGTTATGATTAATACAAATATATATATATCATATTGTTACGAGCTTGGGGTTCGAGACAATTAAAAACTGCCGAGTTAATTACCAAAATTGACACTTTAATTACAGAACACTAATTACAACTTAAAACCACACTAATAATAAAACACAATTGTACTACTGATCACTTTAGTTCGCAGTTGTATCGCTTGGAAGTATTCGCTTGTATCGCCAAGTCAACACCGCCTGGGACGCGGTCTACACCGGGCCTCAGATAATTTCCAGAACCTTCTACTGTAGAAACATCTAGAATGTTCGAGTGTATACCGGTTCCGACTGACTAGGTGTCGATAGTTTCAGAAAGTTCTTCCATGGAAAATTCTAGAAGGGTCTTGACTCTCCTAGTTCCTCTACTCGATAGTAGAGGACGCTAGTGGTAACTAGTGTTGCCATGTACCAGGCACTAATAGTGGCACTCAACAATATTAATATAACTATATATTAGATTAAGTTATAAAACATCTGTGTTATTCATACAACCACTTATCTTTATTTTTCAGCACTTTGCGCACTCATTCTGAGTACATTGAGTGTGCTTAATGGATTCGTAGTACAGAATGCTAAAAAATTAAGTACTTCAGTGAACACTATAATATTTATTAAAATCACACACTACCTTACTGGCATCGCGACTTTGTTTTGTGCCGCTGCAAGCTTGTGCTATGGCTTTGACAAACGCTCGTTTAGAGTTTGGATCGGAAACGACGCTGCTATTCATGCTCTAATGGCAATCACATGGGTGTTTACTATTTCGGTGTCTTTGAACTTTTGGATTACTTCTATGTCTAGATTACAACATTTACTTTAATTTATAAAATGATAACAGATGTTAACAGTATTAATTATATATTAAAAAGAGTTTGTAACTACTCATAATAGTAAATAGCTTTCTCTGCGAGATCCATTTATAAATAAAGTTATGATTGTGTAGTACTTATTTATTGAGACTGTGGTATTTACCACCGGCGATTTTTCGGGACCGATACGACTTAGGGACCTTAAGGAAAAGAGATAACACCTTTATAAAAGGCCTTCAACACATCTGCAATTCCCCTGGTGTTGCGGTTGTTCATGAGCGGCGGTAGTCACTTACCATCAGTGAGCTGCATGCTCAAATGCCCCCCTCTTCTATAAAAAAAATATCATTAATACTATACCGAGAATTTGCGTGATGAAATGGACATGGAGAAGGAGCGTAGGGCTTTAGCGACCCGAAGTAATATGTTGGCCTGTAGGTTTGCACGATGCAGTAGTGCCGTTAAAATAACTCTTTTTAAGGCATACTGCCAGTTTTTCTATTCGTGCTCCCTTTGGGTCAACTACACATAAAGGGCGTATAAAGCATTAAAGGTGCAATGCAAAAAAAAGTATAACATTTAGAGTTCCTTTGGGGCTGTCCCGCTTCTGCAGCGCTTCAGGCATGTTCTGTGAGGCCCGCACCGATGGGTTTGACGCGATAATGCGCAGAAAAGCCGCATCGCTACTAAGCAGAAAAAGGATCAGCGCCAACATTATCCTTTGTGTTATAGCACAAAAACATGACTGTCCTATAATAAGGTAAACTATTAAGGTCCTGCATGGCTGTGTGTGTGTGTGTGTGTGTGTGTGCGTGCGTGCGTGCGTGCGTGCGTGCGTGCGTGAATGCGTGCGTGCGTGCGTGCGTGCATGGGAGAGTGCGTGTGTGTGTGTGTGTGTGTGTGTGTGTGTGTGTGTGTGTGTGTGTGCTTTCTTGCTTGTGGGCGTGCGTGAATGCGTGCGTGCGTGCGTCCTTGGGTGGGTGTCATTTTACTTCCGCCGTCCACCTAGCTGTATTATTTATAATATTTTGTGATTTTTCTAATATATAAATTGTATCACTGAGTTATAATATCAAAATAATAACTCTATATAATTAACATGTCAGCACAATTTTGCTGGTTACATAAAAATTGCTTTTACTGTTTTGATAGATGATTTTATCTGGTCCGCTAGAATATACATAATATATAAACAACTCTCATCAGCTTTTACGATGTACTTCATTTACATTTCACGTCACTAATCCATATAAAGGCATTTGTATACTCGTTACAATAATTGCATATGTAATACAGAGATTTTTTTGTTGGTTTAGTAGGATACATTTTATTACGCCACATACTAATATTTTTATATTTTTAAAATTGTTTGCTTATTTTTATTAATTATATTGAATACAAGGCCGTAGCTAAAACACTACATTCTCTTGTCGGCTTATATTTTAAGCTGAAAAACACTATTATCAACCAAATAATAACGCAAAATTTTCTATATAGATATCATCCTTCCAACAGCAAAGTAAATATTTTCGTATACTCACGTTCGCTTTTTCATACACGTTGTAACATTAGCGATAAGATCGATTACAATCTCATAGATACAGTGTCACAAAAACTAAATACAGATAAAGAGAAATTTTTAGCTTAAGTATTTTATAATACGTTGCTTTATATGTAATTGATATTGTATTCATCATCAACATCATCACCTTTACAGCCCTTTACAACTTCACTGCTGAAAATAAGCCTTCCCCAAGAAAGCTAGCTTCCTGTCATTATCTTATTCCTACTTCTCAATATTGCAGTACGCCGAACGTATTCAACAGGAGGTCGTTATTCGTACCTCGCTTGACAAATCTCTCATACTCATATTGATGATACTATCTTATTTGAGTTCAAACGATAAAATAACCAAATCAGGAAGATAACGGGGAGATATTTTCATTTTAGTTTTGGTATGTCCAAATACTGTATTGCTTAATTCTCTTACAACTCAGTTGTGTTAAAAATATGACTGGAGCAAGTGAGAGTCGATTGCCGGGAAACGTTGATCAGAATAATATAGAACAATCACCGTTCGCACTCTTAATGAATTTAACTAACACTCTAACACAATTCTTTCTCGGTGCAGTGGCTTTCAGTGCAATATATTTCGTAAATATATTCGCAGGTTCTAGCTCTTTGAAACTACATGTATATTTATGCGTTACTGGGGTAACGCATAAATATACATGCTTTATAAATAATATAATTATCAGATAAAAATGAATGATAATGATGAAAATATATATTTAACCATATTTTTGTGCTCTTTACGTAATAAATCTGTATAAGAATTGTATGTAATTCTAATACATTCTAGAAAAAAAACTTGTCCAGGAGACACAGGGAAAGGAGATACGAAGGTTTTAAAAAGCCAAATCAATTGTTATTTAGAATCTCTCTCTGTCATACCTTCTGTATTTTAGCAAAAAATCGAGGCTTATTTTTTTTTTATTCTTAGAAGTATGTATTCTTAGAAGTATGTTACTTGTATGATGCTACCTACCGGTCAAAAGGGAAAACGTAGAGCTCCTAAAATGTGTAATTTATTTATAGATATACTTTTGAAAGATGTTAGCCGTTATCGCATAGTTTGAAAATGAGCCAAACATCTAATATATATTTTTTTAAAACATAATCTATAAAATAGTGATAGTGTTTTCATTCGGTTATAATTTTTTTAATTAATAGCAGCATAAGTGAGATAAACCTGACATTATTTTAACTGGAAGCGAGACATTCCATCTTGATCCTCGGGTGTGGCAATGCATCAGTATTTTGATTTTTAATCAGTAACAGAGGTTTACGTAGGTTCACTTACCCCCAGATGCTAATTTGTCACCCTTTGTTGTACAAAAAGGTACGAAATCACCACAGTTAGTTTTCTCATTAATTAATACAGTATTACAAGTCTAGCATATCAAAGATAATTAAAGTAAGATGTTAGGTTTTATTTTAGCTTTAACTTATATTAAATTAAGGATCAAGTGCCGAGTGACAAGTACAGTGTGACAGGTGATTAAAATAGCTAATATAATAATAATATTCAAAAATGAATTTAATATAGCTAGCTAGAATGGTTTCGAAACATAAACCTAAATATTATATTCAATATTTATCTTTTAGTACATAATTCTAATGAGTCAAGCTATCCTATCCCTAAATCCTTATACAAGTTGGACTAAAAATTTGAAACGTGAGGATAAAAAGATAATCCACTGGGTAATGCAAATCACTGGATCTATTCTAGCAATAGCTGGCAGTATTATTAGAATAATAGATGTTCAACCTAACTTTAGGACAGCACACGGAATTGTCGGTAAGTTTCAAAACTGAATGATCTACTTATTATCATCCTATCCTCAATTTTTTATCTCACTATAGAGATATAAGCAACTAGACTCAAAGTTAGACATTCAAAAGTAAACTTTATAGTAGAGACATTTTTCATAAATTAAATAAAAGTTCAACGAGTCGTACCCTACTTTCAGTCATATACAGAAATATGACGATAGGTGTACTCGCTACACGATGAAAACAAAATGTTTTACTGTCTAACTTTGGGCCTTGTACTACTGAATACAGTAAGACAATAAATGAGCATGGGTTAGGCGTATTTTTTTTATAGGAGAGGGGGCAAACGAGCATGCGGCTCACCTGATGGTAAGTGACTACCGCCGCCCACTAACAACTGCAACACCAGGGGAACCAGGGGAATTGCAGATGCGTTGCCGGCCTTTTAAAAAGGAGTAGGCTCTTTTCTGATGGTAATCGATTCCACAAGGAAGTTGTGCGAGGAAAAAAACATCTTCTAAATCGCACAGTGGTGGACCGTCTATCATCCAGATGGTGTGGATGGTATCGGGAGTTCTACCGCGATGTGCGAAAATGTCTTCAGTAATAGTCAATATAGTATTAGCCAATCTCCAATTTTTCACATGATTGTTGCCGACAAGCAGCAGTGAACCTAGTGCTGTGTTCCGTTTTGCAAAGTAAAAACCCGGTATAGTTACAAGGTGTGACTTACAGATATATTTTTATATATACATTTCTTTAGGGCTCACGGATGGCAATGCATCAAGGGTCTTCTCTGGACAAAATTGCTTGTAATTGGGCTGTAATAGGCACTAACATCAGTCGAACTGTCTCAATATTGTTCCCTTTATGTCTGTGGTCTTAGCGAGAAGGCTTTTAGAGGTTCATTGTAATCTCCTATATAAAAATGGAGATGATAATGGTGGTGATGGTGACGATGTTGATGATTTGATGACGATTACCAATACGAGTTTAATCGTAAGAGCAACGGTGCGGAGTTTTAATCCATGCAGGCATTTGTTATCTAACCACCGTCTGTAACGGCTAAACTCGAGTCTGTTGATAAGAACCGCATTACCGCATAGGCATCGCACACGTTACGGGTAAATTAGGTAGGACAAGTGAGCATTATTGTTGACGCTTGTAATTCTTTATTTTGTGCTTACAATTTATGGCACTGCTACAATTTCTTCTGCAAATATATAGCGAAATTATTTGGAAGATGTAGCCACATTTAGTATCTATCAGAAGAACATTATCACATGGTATTAACAACTCATGTCATTTCAAGAAATTTTTTATCAGTTTATGGGCGGCGGTAGTCACTTACCATCAGGTGAGCCGCATACTCGTTTAGCCCCTTTTATATAAAAATAATAATTTAGCAGCAACCTGACCCAAACTTCATTAATCAATAAATATATTTATTTATTTAATATTTTTCAAATAATAATATAACATTTTTTTAGAATTTATATATTTAATATCTTTTTATAATTTCAGGTCTTGTTGCCATGATTTGCACCTTTTTTAGTCTCGTTAGCGGGTTGGTCAACTTAATCTCCATGCAGTTTCGAAATAACATAAATTTAACCAAAATAGTGCATTCTGCTATGGGTTCTCTGGCAATCAGTACTGCTTACATATGCCTTTGTTTAGGTTTTCACAATTTGTATCGAAATGTATTTGGAGATAAAAATGCCAACCTGTCGATTGTTCTAGCTGCATTTGCGTTAATAGGTACGTTGACATCAGCTAGTACAAATATCTTTAGAAGAATATTTAGTTAGATTAAAATGTATCTTGTAGTACTTTAAAGTTTTTATTAATTTTACTGTTTAATTTTATTTGTAACTCCTGTTGATCAAAGGTTAAGTTATAGGATTACTTAACACAAAGTTGTTTTTTGCAATTATTTGTACTCGATGTTGTACCAAATGTTTTGCAATTTATTTTTTAAAAAGCTTAATTTCTACTTAATTATTTAAGTGTTGTTAAGTGGAGGTATTTGTGAATAAAATAAAATGCAGTTATGATTTGATACATTTTTTTCCTTTATTGCTGTCTATATACATAACTTCATGCGTACAATACATTCGTCCACACAATATTTCACTACTATAATAATTTTAAATACTATAGAGCCTACATAAAACTGACATTTCTTATGTTAAGTATAAAATGCTTAGAATTAATTAAATATCACACCAAAAATTACTTAATAATAAATAATACTACTGCTTAAAATAGTTTCAGTAAAAAATTAAATTTATTTGTGATTATTTAAATTAAGATGTGCAAGAATAGCAACAATTCTGCACGTAGTAGTTATAGTGGCAAAGCCTAGCTTGTACAGCCAATGCGCAGTTGCTCAACTTATCTTCGCAGTCTGAAAAAAAATAACGTTACACTTTTGTTTATTATTGTCGTTTTCCATTAAACACCAATATTATTCGAAAGCTACAGCATTTTATTAAAGGATGACTATGGGTGCATCGTGGACAAACAAGCACCTTATAGCTACTTGCCTTGTGGTTCATAGACGGCTACATCTGGTTTTGATTAAAAATAAAAAATGTAGAGAACTAGAGATTCCTTATACTGGTAACAAGGTATCGTCCTCGGAGGTGACAACACTATAGAGTATAGACCATAGCCTCCACCTACCATCAGGTGGACTTTGTGAGAATATTATATTTATATGACAAGAAATGTGACAATGGATTTTTATTGCACCAAACGACACACTATACACACATTATATTTAAAACACGCGTTTTAGAATTCAATTTTTCATACCTCTTGCCTCCTTTTCCTTAATTGTAGTCTTTTGGGTACTTGTGGTGTAATTTTCTGTTTTTTGAGATGCTGTAATAAATTCATACTTAATTAATTATTGAATTATTTCATAAAACGATGTTAAAGATATGTACAATTTGTAATATATAATTTTTTAATTCATTATTTTTATTGCTGTTTAGGTTTTTTGACAAAGTTGAACATGATTGTTTATCATTCTGGAAAGCATGTTCAAGTAGAATATTATTCAGTAAACCTGTAACCCACGGAGAATAATTCAACGCTAGTAGATGAAGCAGTAGATTAGGAAATACTGTTAAAAATGAGACAAAAAACATACCAATGATAAGTTCAGGCGGGACTGCAGCATCGGTGCAGTGCGGGTTGCAGGCACGGTGCGCATGTGGGCGCGGTGCAGCGCATGCGCCATCGCTCGCACCGCCGTTTGCCCGTGCACATACAACTGTCCGACGCTGTACGCCCGTTCGTAATGTGCAATTGCCTGCACACTGTTAAATTAAATATAGATTAAAAAAGGGCGTGATAGTGCCACGTTCGCACAGAAAACTAGCGTAAATAGCACCATAATGTTACTGATTTCCGTATGGTGAGTGTAGAGTACTCGATGCTCTTTTTACTGGTAATGACGCCTTTTATCTTAGTCCTCAGGAGTAACAACGCATCCACATTTCGATTTATGATTCACATTTGATTTAGGCACAGCATCTAGTTACCATCAATTGGACTATATAACAGTTTATCATCCTCATTTCAAAAAATGGAATTTGTGTAAGTGAGAATAGAACTTACAAAGTTCTTTACAAACTCAGAGGTGAGAAACATTTTTAAAAGAGTAAAAGTTTCATAATTTCTTCTCCAAGCGCCACCTCACTTGCATACGTGATGTACCATGTTTAAACAATGAGGCTCTGAACCGAGTAGTTGCGGTAGGTATATCCATTCGAAAAGTTGAATCCAAATCCCACAGAAATAATGAGAAGCAGCATCACCGGCGGATAAACTATTCTTGCGGCTCCACGGCGCAGTGACATAGCATTTAGCAGCGACGCTGAGAGCTGCGGTTTGGAATCTCTCACGGGACAAGTATCTCTGTAAGTAAGTAGAGTTTGTAAAGGACAAACTCCCTGTGCAATTTATGTATATAAGCTGCTTCCATGATACAAGAGAAAATCCTAGGGTAAGGGCAATAATTTTTAAAAATCCAGCTCGAATATGTGCGTGTTGCCAGATGATCTATGGATCTGAGACGTGGTCTTTAACTGCTGGCGCTATGAGGAAGCTCAAGGTAGCTTAGTGAGGTATGGAGAGGGCTATGCTCGGGGTTTTTTTAACCGACAACAGATGGGGAAGAAAGGTTCTCGAGTGACAGCCTTGTATCGGCAGGCGAAGTGTAGGGCGTCCCCCCACTAGATGAAGGGACGACCTGGTAAGATATGCAGGATGTCAATGGAGGCAGTTGGCTCGGGACTGCGCTTTATGGAATTCCTTGGAGGAGGCCTATGTTCAGTAGTGGATTTGTGAAGGACTGTAATGATGATGATGATGATGATATTTGCTATCCCAAAATTCACAGTTCAAACGATAAAAAATGATGATAGAGCATGTAAATCCTGATAAATCCGAAAATTAACAGTTAAATAATGTCCTTCAGACCGAATTTCAGTCACGGCGGTTAGTCCCAACTCTCAACATAGACTAGCCATCTGCGGACCGCAAGCACAACATGAAGTGCACGCTATTCCCCACTCTCATATTCCAATGGTACGATAATAACGACACAACTGACGGGAGATCAGGCGCCGGACCAACGGCTTTACGTGCTTTCCGAAGCACGGCGGTAATACAGCCAACTTCCTGACTCCAAACTGCTAATGAGGATTTTTTGACAGAAAATTCCAATAGCTGGTTTTAACCCGATCCCGGGATTCGAACCCAGGATCTCATAATCAGCAGTTGCGTTTATGACCACTAGAACAACGAGCCAGTCAAAATAACGGTTATTGAGATAATTACTTAAAATTAGAACATTTTAATTATCTATACATATACTACAAATTATATGTACTACATAAATACAAATAAATATAATTTAAAATTTAAAATGTTGTACAACCGACTTCAATATAAATTATTAAGAATAACTCAAAAACTATTGGTCTGACCTTCATGAAATTTATATATAACCACATGTGAAGCACCAGCTTTCAAATGAAAAAAGAATCATCGAAATCGGTTCACCCAGTAAGAAGTTATGAGGTAACACACATAAAAAAACATACTGTCGAATTGAGTACTGGCTCCTTTTTGAAGTCGGTAGAAAATTGAAGTGTCTGTTTGTATGTACACACCCTCTTACACGCGCAAACACATACACACACACACACACACACACACACACACACACACACACACACACACACACACACCACTCACACACATCCACACACACACACACACACACACACACACACACACCACTCACACACATCCACACACACACGTACACTAGCACCATATACAAAAGAGGTACATTTTACATATATATATATATATATATATATATATATATATATATATATATATATTTTTTTTTTAATTTCAATATTACATTTTGTTTTATACCACATCTGTAATATAAAGAACAAAGTTTTGTAAATTTTCTATAATTTAAATAAATAATTTATGTTTATTATGTCTGGGAAGTGGCGCCATATGCTGAAATACAGGTTTTGGCCTAGTTCGGCAATGGATGCTATTTTTCATGTTATAAGATGAAATATTCCTATGTAGTTTATAAATAGACATATTGTTAACTGATATATATATGGAAAATAAAGATTAAATAAATTAATTAATTAAATTCTTTTAATCTTATTGGATGTAGCTATTCAATAAAGTTACAGAGTAATGATTCATGATCTATACAAATAAATAAAATTGATGTGTCTGTTTGTAATGTAAAAATTACAGTTTTTTACTAAATGCATATGAAAGTAAATACGGTACTTATAACTAAAATACAATTTTTTAAATTTTTGTCTGTCTGTCTGTTTGTTCCGGGTAATCTCCGCAACGGCTGGGCCGATTTTGACGTGACTTTCACTGGCTGATTTCATAAGGAGTAACTTAGACTACTTTTATTTTAGAAAAATAATTAGGGTTCCGCACAAAAACATAAAAACCCTAACACGCGAGCGAAGTCGCGGGGAACAGCTAGTCTTTTATATATTTATTGAGTCCCGAGTTCGAATCACGGGTCGGGCCACAATGGTTTGTTTTTCTGTCAAGAAATTCTCAGTAGCTGCCCGAAGCGAGGAAAGAATATTAATATTATTACCTATTATTATTTATGTATTATTAGTCAAAAACAATGTACTTTTTTGATTTTTTACTCTTAAAAAATGTTATGCATAAGATTTCGTACCGTAATTGAATAAAGGAAACGCTATCGGAATTGGTGCCCTTAGTTATTTTTTTTATAGGATAAGGGTGACAAACGAGCACACAGTCCACCTGATGGTAAGTGGTTGCTGCGGCCCATAGACATCTACATCTATCCTCTGTTACAAATCAAAATATTGATGCGTTGTCACCCGTGAGGACTAAGATGGAATGCCTCATTTCCAGTAAAAAGAACCTCCGGCCACCTGCACTCACCAAGCGAAACGCAGAGGTAAACCTCTACTTCACGCTGGTTTTCTGTGAGGTCGTAGTACTACCCCAGTTCGAGCCGGCCCATCCGTGCGAGAGCAAAAGCTGCCGCTTGGCTCTACCACTGTTAGTGATTAATAAATAAAAAACCTGCATTACGTAAAAATGTACATTGAATTAAAATATATTATATATACTTTTTGCACATGGTAGAGCTATGCTGCAGCTATATTAGTATAGTTGTAGCACGAATGGGTCGGCTCGACCGGGGAAGGACCACGCTCTCACAGAATACCAGCGTAAAATAGCAGTTTAACACTGCTGTGTTTCGAATGGCGAGTGTGGAGAACCGGAGACTATTTTTACTGGAAAAGAGGCATTCCATCTTAGTCCTCACGGGTGACAACGCATCTGCATTTTGATACGCTAACGATGATAGATGCCACAGTAACCATTTACCATCAGGTGGACTATGTGCTCGTTTGCCACCCTATCCTATAAAAAAATATATTCTCTCTGCTATTATGGATAAACCAACGAACATAATATCATTGGTTTCGTGATCTCGTATAGCCATAATTTAAAATTTAAAATTTAAAATTTTGTACAGCCACTTCAATATAAGTTATTAAGAATAACTCAAAAACTATTAGTTTGACCTTGATCAAATTCATACGAGACCACACGAGAAGTACCAGCATTTAAATAAAAAAAGAATCATCCAAATCGGTTCACCCAGTAAAAAAATATGAGGTAACACACATAAAAAATAACATACAGTCGAATTGCGTACCGTCTCCTTTTTGAAAGTCGGCAGAAAACGGCTTGAGGGATTTTAAAGTGCGAGATATTCGTCTCCATTTCTGTATTGTCTCAGACTTACAATTTCAATGCGACGCTCACAAATATGCTGTATTGATACATTTTATTTATTCGTTTATATGTTTTAGTCATTTGCTATTACTTAGCAAGAATTAGATTTATTTCACTCATTAAAATATTTATAAATATTCGATTCAAGTTACTAATTTTTGTACCAAGAGATATATTTTTCAACTATCAAAACACTTCTCCTAGCATAAGAAATTATCATGAATTTTATAATAATAAATACTTAGTAATAGTGTTTAGCTTAAACGTGCTTACCACTGGCCAGTTCAGAGATCTTGCACCTCCCGTTACCTTATCTACTAATGGAGTCTGCATAATGTATCTATTACTAAGTAGATACAAACTTGTTACTGGCTCCAGCGAGTTCATTGTCTCATACAAGGTATTATTATCCGATAAAATATACTAATCGTTTAAATTTTATTCAAAACTTGATTGTAATAAGATAAAATAATTAATCACGAAGCGGAATAACTACACAAATGAATACGTGACACCATCTCGTTCCGTTAATGGCATAATTGGTAACGAAATATTGTAACAACCTCCCACCACCTCTTCGAATAATTAAGACACAGTCTTACTTTAAAACAAACAATTTTAACCTTTTAAATCTACAAAAATACAAATAAATAAAATTGAAGTGTCTGTTTGTAATTTCAAAATAACAGCTTTTTACTAAATGCATATGAAAGTATATACGGTACTTATAACAAAAACACAATTTTTTAAATTTTGTTCGTCTGTCTGTTTATTTGTTCCAGCTAATATCCGGAATGGCTGGATTAATTTTGACGGAACTTTCATTGGCAGATAGCTGATTTTATAAGAAGTAACATAGGTTATTTTTGTTTTAAAAAAGAATTAGGGTTCAGCGCAAAAAAATAAAAAATCATGAAATCCATTAATAATTAATTAAACGCGGGCGAAGTCGCGGGGAACAGTA